ATATATATATATATATACCTAATTTTTCAAGTTATCAAGTTCACCAGGTTTACACAGACATGGCAGTAGCCATCTTGGATTTTAACCTGGCAACCCAATTTTGAAAATAAACCTTTCTTACACCTTGATTCACCCACACACCAAAATGGAAGTTGGTACCTCACTAATTTTTCAAGTTTTCTTGCTCACAACATACGTGGACATCCACAACATGTCCCCCTTTTCACTCCATGATTTGAACAAATATTTCCTGCTTGCTCACAGCAGCCAGAACCCTTTTGACCGTATCACACCATCTTCTTTACTATTTACTTTTTGCATCACATCTAGAAAACACAATAATGTCACATTTTGTTTTGATGAAAATATTTTTAAACTAATACTATATTTTTAAAGAACATTTGTTTCATTCAGTTCATTTCAGTTTATTTATATAGTGCCTAGTCACAACAAAAGTTGTCTCGGAGTACTGTACAAAAACATTCACATACTGTCATAAAAATGATCAGGTCTGTCTTGTAAATGAGCCCCGAGGCTCAATGGGATTAACCTGTCTATATAAAGGTTGAATGAAGAAAAATCTGTTCTTTCTTTGTGTTTCTCCTCTTAGTTCCTTTTATGTTCCTAGTGTTTGTCTCCATCGTGTGGTCTGTCCTAGCTATTGCTCCCTCATCAAGTTCCCTGCCTTCTTCACCTGTTGTCCCTCCCAGCTGTTTGTCATTTGACTCATCAGTGTTTGTGTATTTTAAACTGTGTCTCCTGTTCTTTGGCATCTGGGCATTTTCTCATGAAGACTTTCTTGCTTATGTTACATGTTCTACACAACGCCCTGGTCTTTGTCTCCCTTCATGCCCTTTCATTAATGTATGTTGCTGCTGCCACGTCAGCCCTTTGGTTTATTTTTTTCATTAAATAACTTTTACTTTAAACACAAGTTCTTCTGGTCCTTCCTGCATTTTGAGTTTGACCACCACTAGACCGTTAACACAAAAATTATAAAAGCCAATGTGTAAAAGTTATCTAAGGGAAAGGAAACCAGCAGATTGTGTTGAATCTTCAGTTTGTCGAAGTCTCCCATCTTGAACAAGAACAAAGGAGACAGTGGAAAGGAAAAACTCCCTTTTAACAGAAGAAATCTCCAGCAGAACCAGGCTCAGGATAAGTGACCCTCTGCTTTGACCAGCTGGGGTTGAGAGGACAGGAAGGAGAAACAAACAGAATGGCAGGCCCAGGTGAACTTTCTACTAGAGGAAAGACTAAAACACATGTTAAGGGTAGAAATAATCACAAATATAAAAGGGTAGAGTAGAGCAAGTAAAGACAGCAGCAGAGTGAGGAAATGTGGTCAATTTGTTCTCCAGTAGTCTAAGCATAACTAAGGGATAGCTCAGGAAACCCAAGCAGACAGTAACTGTAAGATTTATCATAAAGGAAAGTCTTAAGCCTAATCTTAAAAGTAGACAAGGTGTCAGCCTCACGGACAGAAACTGGAAGTTGGTTCCACAAGAGAGGAGCCTGATAACTGAAAGATCTGCCTCCCATTCTATTTTTGGATGCTCTAGGAGCCACAAGTAAACCTGCTTCCTGAGAACAAAGTGCTCCGTTAGGAAAGTATGGAACAATAAGATCTGTAATACAAGAAGGAGCTAGGTTGTTGAGAGCTTTGTAGGTTAGAAGTCAGATTTTGAATTCTGTTCTAAATTTGACAATAGAGAGAAATGGAGAAATATCTCTCCTACCAGCTCTCATTTCCTCTGGCTGTAGCATTTTGAATCAACGGAAGGCTTTTTAAAGGATGTTTTGGACACCCAGATAATAAACTTTTAAATAAAATTTTAATTTATTTATCTATTTATTAAATAATTTGTTCCACAGAGCCCAGACTGCATTAAAAGTCCAATCTTCACTCCGACAACCGGTCGTCATGAGCATGGTTTGTTTAACTTGTATCATGCAATGGATGGAGCATCCCACCTCCACATCCTGGTGGTTAAAGAGTATGAGATGGCCGTTTACAAGAAGTACTGGCCCAATCATATCATGCTGGTGCTGCCCACTGTCTTCAATGGAGCCGGTATAGGTATGTCACTGGTATTTATTAGACAGGTTTTATTTATTATTGAATTTTCTAAATAGTGCCTGATGTTTTTGCAGGTGCCGCTCACTTCCTGATAAAAGAGCTTTCTTATCACAACTTGGAATTGGAGCGCAGTCGGCGTTCAGATGGAGGAATCTCTACAGTTGATGTCTGGCCCTTCATCATCCTCGCTGATGACTCCTGTGTTATGTGGAATGCAGTGGACCTTGATAAACCGAGGTAAAGGTCATAATAGTTGTTGCTTATATAAAAAGTGTATTAGGACGTTATGCAATCGTTTTTGTGTTGTTTGCTAAAGTCATTCTTTGTTTGCTTTCCAGTGGTCCAGCGGATCATGCCGTGTCACTGAAACAGGTCTTGCAGCACATAGAGGCCTGTCCAGACTTAGCCCATTTTGGTCTTTGTGGGATCAGGAAGTGGAGCAGCTGTGGACTCACAGGTCTGGACACAGTACAGAGCACAAAAAAATAATTTAAATTACGGTACTCACTTTCTTTTTTCTTTTGTCGAATTTTTAAAACACTAAAAACTGTATGACTGAAATAGCTTATTTTTATGTTTTACTATTGGGATTCCTTTTGCACAAGCTAAGATTTTTATTTAAATAAATAGTAAAACAAGCAAATTCTCAGATGTATAATTACTGTAAAGCTGCAATGCTTATTTCTTACTGATGACATAGGTGTTAAACAATGGGAGCCTTTCTCTAGAGGTCACCTTCACGATTTCCTCTTCCTCAACGTTGACCGGAGTCAGAATGTTCAGTACAACCAGAACCGCTTCACCTGTCACGATGTGGACTTCACCCTGAGGCTGCACAGCGCTGGGCTGCTTGTCTGCAAGTTCAACAACTTCAGCATCATGAAGAAGCAGATTGCCATAGGAGGATATAAAACATTTATTATCAAGACCAAGGTAGAGGCTTTAAAAATATATGGTAACAAGATTTTGCTTGTGGATTCACCTGGATATTGTCGGAGCTTGGAACAATTGTCAATAATGCTACATCGTTTTTGTTCAGATGACAGATGTTTCCACCTCAGTGGGGCCATCACAATACATCTGTGCCCCTGACAGCAAGCATCTTTTCTTGGCTACACCAGCTCAGCTCCTTCTGGAAAAATACTTGCAACACACCAGCCAGAAACTGTTTCCACTCAGCACCAGGAACTACACACACCCAGTTCTGACTGTAGACTGTTACCTGAACCTGGGGCCGGAGGTACAGAAACATCCATCCACCTACACAGAAACATGGTCACCCACTTGACTGCATGAAATCACAGCCTGTATGTAGTAGATTAACTTTTAATTGAACAAGTCTGGGTCCACATTCATATAGATTTTGTCATACTTCCCACCTCCTGCAGGTGACGGTGTGTTTTATAAGCTCCAAACCTCATTCTGTCAACGTCAACACCACCGGGTTGTTGTTCAGTGGCCTCCTCCTTTGTTTTCCTGACACGTTTGTGACCTCTGGGTTCCTCAAGAAGTTCACATTTCTTAAAGGTACAACAGCACATAAAAATCGTGATACCGGTTGACCCTTGAGAAAATATATTGAAACATAAAAAACCCTTTGCAGATCAGGTTTCATCAGAATGTCAGAATCATTGTTGAATGTCTGAAAGTCACATGAAACTTTTAAACACTTAAGTTCATGTTCCAAATGAATAATTACCAAACACAAAATAACACCATTGCATGCATAGTGTACATCAGTATAAACTAATACAGTAGTCCCTCGCTACTTCACGGTTCGACTTTTGCGGACTCGCTCTTTCGCGGTTTTTCAAAGTAAGATTGTACTCGAGAAAAAAATTAATACAAAAACAGCTTGTACACGACACACGATTGTCAACTTTAATATTATTCACGTGATTCGGACAGAACGGGATACAGTAAAACGTTAACAACAAAAACTTCAAACAGGCACCGCCATTTTGTAGTTTTTTCTCAATAAGCCTACACTGTATTGCCACACAAAAGGACTACATTTCCCAGAAGCCAACAGTGCCCCACCAGAAGCCCAAACAGTGCTTCCAGCCGTTGCTTTCTGCTGAAATGGAGGGAAAGTTTTGATCCGATCTGAAAAAGTTTGGTCTTTATTCATAATGACCTCAGTGCTCAGTGGACGCAGAGAGCCGCACGGAACCGACCAGGATTTGGACCAAAACTGGACTTCCAGCATCATCGGTCAATATGAGTGTTGCTTGCTGGTCCAGGGAGCCTCTCCAGTGGGGAGGCATTGCTTGGACGGTCTGGTGTTTTCTCCGGAGTTCACCGGGACATTTTTTCATCTGAATTTGGACTCCATCGGGACCATTGTGTGGTTTTGTTTGCAGTACATAGCTACTGTGCAGTACATATACATATGTTATTAAAATTACATAGGTTTAAGAGTTTAGGACACTGTGGGCTTCGTCGCTTCAGGGTAGGTCTGCCAAACCGGAACTGAGCCGGACCGGAACCAAGCTGCTGTGTTCTGCAGAGCTGGTGAGTGACATTTTGCAGTACTGTACAGTACATGTACGTATGTTGTTAAAATTACATAGGTTTAAGAGTTTAGAACATTGCAAGAGTGTGGGAAGGATTTGTAAAACCTTAAAATGTATATATACATACTAAAATAAATCCAGCATTCCTACTTCGCATTTTTTCACTTATTGCGGGAGGTGGGGGTCCAGAACGTACTGTAACCCCGCGATAAACGAGGGACTACTGTATTGACATGGATTATAAATTAGATTAAACTTGTTGCTGTATTTTCATCATATATACACATCCATACTAAAAGAAACTCCAAAGGTTAGTATAAACAGTTTTTAGGTTATTTGACCAAGTAGTAAATCGATTTCTATCACTGCATTAAACAAATCATGAAACCACATCAAAGTTTTCTAAATCCTTAAGAAAGCAAATAAAAACAACAAAAAACAAATGTATTTAAACTATTACTCAATATTTAAAATTGGTAAAGGGAAAAAAAATAGTATTGTAGACAATTTAGCTGGTAAATAAAGCTTGCTGGACGTCCTTGTGCTGGTTAAATTGTCTCCTCCTGTGTGCCTCCCTGTAGGTGCCACGCTGTGTATAATCAGTGCAGATCGCAGCTCACTGAGGCAGACCGTGGGCAGACTGGAGCTGGAGGAAGAGTGGAGGTTCAGGCTCAGTGACGAATTCCAGACTGCGAACGCCAAAGAAGACCGACCTCTCTTCTTCCTGACAGGAAAACATATTTGACTAAAACAAACAGACCTGCAATAAGTTACAGAAAGGACTAAAATCACTTTTCTCACTAACGGGGGAAAAAAATGCCACAGAAAGATTTGTTGAAAAGAGACTGAAGACTAATAATTACATGTGACTGTCCAAAAACTCTAGCGGTATTTAGACTTTGGAAGTGAGAAGTAAAACACTTAAAGTTTACATTTGCTGTGTCTTTGCATGTACAATTAATGTTTATGTTACAAACAAAATTCCTACATGAGAAATCCATCCAATATCTTTACCCGCTTCTTCCTTTTCGGGTCGCGGGGGTCACTGGTGCTCATGTCCAGCCATCACTGTACGAGACGTGGAGGACACCCTGTTGCAAGTCCATCACAGGGACACAGAGAGACAAATGAGACAAACAACCATTCACTCTCTCACTCACACCTAGGGACAATTCAGAGTTACCAGTCACATGCATGTTTTTGGTCTGTGGGAGGAAACCGGAGTACCTGGAGAAAACCCACGCATGCACGGAGAAAACATGCAAACTCCATCCAGAAAGGCCCCCGGCCAGGATTTGAACCGGGACGACTTGCTCACTGAGAGGCGGCAGCTCTACCCACTGCGCCACCGTGCTGCCCTACATTAGAAATATATGAGTAAATGTTTTTGTACAGTTCTTGACAGATTAAAGTAAAGAAAGTTGTCAGCAGAAATGAAAATACAATTTCAGACAATGAATTGCTAGATAAATGTTTCAGGTACTGCTTTTGAATGTAATACATTATTAGTTTTTGGGTTTTTTTCCCCTTTATTTGGAGATATTAAAAGTATATCAGAGTACTCCAATTTCTCTGCAGATGACTGCAACACAAGAATTTTATAAAGGGAAAACAGTCATCTGTGTGCAGTGTAAATTAATTAATGGCATCCTTTTTTATGCCGTCAGTTTTGTAGATGCTTGTTTTGCATGAATGCTTTTACAGACAGAAAAACTTTTATTTTGTCATATTTGAATTGTGTCAAAGAAGGTACTTGTTTTCAGTGTATTCAAAGAAAATTTGCATTAAGTGCTAAACAATATTCTTGAGTTGTACTCCATATGTTGTACAGTGATGTTTGTGCCAGTCTGAGAAACAAATGTAGTTTTATGACTGTACAGTTTTATGACTCCAAATGTATAAATGTATAGACTTTTTAAATGTTGTCGTGTGTTGTTTGAATGAGAAACCGAGCTATCAAACAGTTTGCACAGCACACAAGTTTAACTGATTATCACAGGTTGTGATCATGTGACACACCATGCTGCAGTTCTTGGTTCCTCCTGCCCTCAGGTTGAACTTGTGAGGTGTTTATTCATGATTTCATTGTGTAGTTCATAGAACTGCTGTTCACTGCAAGATCAGCACATGAAGCAGCAGGAAAGTCCAGCAACCTGAGAAGCTCTCAATGTCCTCCTAGAACTTAATTCCCAGAAGACTCTTGTTGATAAATTTAGTGTAAAACACTTGCTCATGTCTCACAAGCACTAGCTGCTCACTTAAAACTGATCCAACAGATTAAAGAACCTAGGGACTTATCGCTGTACCTCCTAGAAGAACTTCCAAAAAGTCTTCTGAGGAAAACATTGGACATGTTTACCATCTTGGAGGACTGAACAGCTCTTTTTTGGATTCAGTATAGACTTATTTTATTATTCTCAAGGATTGCTTCAGATATCCTTCTAGGTTCTGAGACTCTTCTAACAAGATTTAAACCAGAGTTTGCTGATCAGGTGAAATGGAGCCCTGAGCCACATGGAGGAGAAAGACTTCAGCAGCCACAGTGACGATGGCAGCCCCACTGACAGCTGGTCTTGGGTAAAAAAAAAACAACTTTATAAATATTTGACATTTAAAAGAACAAAGTAATGTAGAGTTGTTGTTCAGAGACCACATGGACAGCTAAGCTAGACTTTGAAACAGGTGTAGTTCACTGCTTTTGTGGTGTGTTTTGCTTCTGCAGATAAAGTCAGAACTTGTGTTTTCTCTGTGTTAGAGCCACGCACTTTGTGTATCTAGTTCATATCTACTTAAAATCCAGGAACAGGAACATTTATGGCTCTGTTAGTCCACAGAGAGTAAACTTATTACATAAGTTCTGGAGTCATTCAATGGCACGGAGATCCTGCACAGTTATTTCTTCTTATTTTTGCACTATATCTGCCTTAAGTTAATATTTAATGAAAGTTACTCAGACCCTTCAGTATGTGTGCATCGTCCATAGTTCACATTGCAGAATAGAATATACTGTATGTAGAACAGAAACAGAATAAAATGCCCCGTATGTGCAAATACAAGCAAACAAATCTATTACAAAACCAACGCATCTCTAGGCCTTTATGTTGCATGATGATTATGAGCACAGTTGCTCAAGTCCAGTAAATAAAACCCTACAACTTAAATCATTTGCATTATTCGGTCTCAAATTTAACAGACCTCAGCATTTTAAGATTCTAACTAGAAAAGATGCATGCACATTTGTCAATGTTCTGTTTCACAATGATCCAACTTTTAAAAACAGTTTAATTGTATTTGGCTTCATGGAATGATTTTAATAGCATATTATTGATCACATATTGCACCTCAGCTATTGCTTAATATCCTGGAAAAAAATATTAGGTTAAAACATGGAAACACTGAATTACGGTAATCAAATATATTAAGTATTTATGTGTAAATACAATGTCCTGTCTGTGTACACTTTGAGATTTGATGCTCATTTATTGTGTGATTTTGTGCCTTTATTCCATCTATCTTGATTTCATCTGGGGCATGTACTTTTTTGTACCCTGTTGTTGTTTACAATGGTAAGTCTGGCCTTGAAACCAGCTAATCAGATGTTCATGAAGTCCTCCAGTGTGTCCAGCATGTTTCAGCAGCTCGGTGGTGGTGTGGCTCAAGCAGCTCTGTGGTTGGCTCAGGAAGCCCATCCCACTAACAGTCACCCACCATCTCTGCAGTGATGAAATGAACTCATTGCTGACCCCACAAGGAGTGCCTGGGAGAGATTAAGCAATCTCTCTCAGAAAAATCCCTCCCCTGTCTGGCATAGGATGAAGCTGCAGAACATTGCATTCGGAGCAGCCGGGTGGAGAACGTATCAGATAACGCTCACACAAACTAGAGTAACTTGTAAACATGCACTGAACTACATTACAGTGAGTGTTACCCACACAGAATAAACCAAAGCGCTAAACATGTTCATATAACATGCATCTTTGTGTTTGTTAGTTTTTCTCCTACTAATTCCAAAGATGTCTGTATTTTCCTACACTACATTTATTATTTCTTGCTTTGTGGTCTGAAGGAAATACAGAAACGCTCCTGTCTTTTTGTTGAGTCTTTATAGTAGTTTGAACATAAATCACGAGCCATAATTTTCACATAACCGTGACATGAAACCTCATCAGAAGATCACAAACTCAATAAAAGCAAACCATATTCATAATCTAATCATTTCAGGAAAATGAATCACCGTTGTGTAATGAGTGAAGAGCAAAAATGTGAATATTTGTACAGAACAGTTTCAAATATGTAATTTTGGGAAATTTTATCACTTGAAGTCTTTTTTATATATTTACTGCATTGGATTCATGAGTTTGATGGGTTCCTTGATGATTAAGGATAGTGTTTCTTCTTCATGTGCTCACATAATAACATGTGTTACATTTGTAAGCTTAGAATTGTTTTAGTCATGTTTCTGGGTCTGGATGTTCTTTTAAATGAAAGCGCAACTGGGTCTTGTGTAGGTGTGGTGTTAATGTGCATGTACACGTAAATCTCTATAAACATGTAGGTGGGTATCTGTCAGTGTTTAGCTATAACCAGGCTTTTGATTGTTGCTTTTTTAATTGGTAATATCTTTGTGTTGCACATTTGACAGCTGACAAATAAAGGTACTGTTGTGGTCTCGAGTCCACTAATCGTTGGTAACACTTTACAATAAGGTACACAAAATTTGATTAACTACTAGCGAACGCCTCAGGAATGAATCAGGAACAAATCAGAAGGTAATGGTTAGTTAACCAGTACTTACTGGGGAACACACAGCCAAGCCTTATTAGGGGACTACTGGTTAGTGACCTTGTAAATGAAGAGGAATTAATCAAGAACTAATGGGTAGTTAGCAAGGAAACCAAACAGGAACGAATCAGGAACTAATGAGTAGTTAACAGTACTTACTGCGGTGAACAAAATAAAAGCCAGACAATGATTTGGTACTCAGTAAGTGATAGTCAGACATAGTTAAGATGACAGCAGTACAAGATTATGAAATTGATAATGTCTTTCATCAATATGTTTACAAAAGTAAAAGTCCAATAAATCCAATAATCACTAGGAAATAGGTTTTTGACTAAATGAGCTGTGACCTCACTGGTGCATTATTCAGAACCCAAATGGAGAATTTCTTCTCTATTTCGGTGGTAACAAACCAGTCCCCTAATAAGGTTTGGCTGTGTGTTCCCCAGTAAGTACTGGTTAACTACCAGTATTCAATAGCTCCTGATTCGTTCTTCTTGGGTTTCATTGGTAACTGCCCATTAGTTCTTGATTAGTTCCTTTTCATTTACAAGGTAACTAACCATAGTCCTTTAATAAGGCTTGGCAGTAAATGGTAAATGGACAGTACTTATATAGCACCTTTCTATCTGATCAAGACACTCAAAGTGCTTTACAACACAACCTGTGCCTCATTTACCCATTCATACAGCACTCTACTAGATCTCTACATAGCCAATTGAACAAATCATTCTCCAGTGTGTTCCCCTGTACTGGATAACTACCCATTACTGATTCATTCCTGAGGCGTTCCCTAGTAGTTGATCAAATTGTGCATACCATCCATCCATCCATTTTCTTTACCCGCTTATTCCATTTTTGGGTCACGGGGGTCGCTGGTGCCCATGTCCAGCAATCACTGTGCGAGGGGCGGGGTACACCCTGGACGGGTCGCAAGTCCATCACAGGGCCACATAGAGACAAACGAGACAAACAAACATTCACTCTCTCACTCACACCTAGGGACAATTTAGAGTTACCAATCAGCCTAACATGCATGTTTTTGGACTGTGGGAGGAAACCGGAGTACCCGGAGAAAACCCACGCATGCACGGAGAGACCATGCAAACTCCACCCAGAAAGGCCCCTGGACCAGGGTTTGAACCACCTGCTCGCTGAAAGGCAGCAGCTCTACCAGTTGCGCCACCGTGCTGCCCTCAAATTGTGCATACCTTATTGTAAAATGTTACCAAATCGTTTTTTTAATAAACTTTAAATTAGCTTTAGATTTTTTAGTTTAGTTTAGAGTTATGGCTTCCTTCTTGCAGGCCTATTGTTACAAGTTGCTTAGAAGTAAACTAGTTTCTCTTTAAATGCACAAATGACTACTTTTTTCTCTCAAAGGGGTGTTTTCTGTCCAGCCACTCCAACAAACAGTAAAAAAAGAGAGACGTAGTATTCTAATATGTTTCAGTCCAAGTTTTATTTAGAAAAACTGTTGCTCTTTCCATTTTGATCAACAACTTTGTTTTTTCTAAAAAAGTTAAATCTGGTCCTCTGGACATTCAAAAAAACAAAACAAAGCAAAACAACAAAAAAATGTAGAAACGTTTCGTCTCTCATCTGAGAGACTTCCTCAGTCTGAGGAGCTGTATTCAGCTCAGTCTCTTAAATAGCACCTTCTCAGGGTGGATCAACCAGTTTGCTGCTGACAACCAAAACCAGCTGATCACATGCTCAAGAAGGACCATCAGCCTAACAATGGATCATTAGCACACTGATGGCTGTTTGCTAGTATCACTCAGCCCTCTGTGAGTAGTAATCACAGCATTGTAAGAGGGGGACAGTTGAACCCGGAGGCCTCCACCCCTGTTTAATGATGGACGATTTCTTTTCACAAAGATGGCCTCCTTTACTCCTCTCTCAAACCATCGTTCCTCTCTGTCCAGGATGTGAACATCTTCATCCTTGAAAGAGTGACCGCTGGCCTGGAGATGAGTGTAGACCGCAGAATCCTGGGCTGATGATGTTGATCTTCTGTGCTGGGCCATCCTTTTGGCCAGTGGCTGTTTAGTTTCTCCGATGTAAGACTGATCACAGCCCTCCTGACACTGAACAGCATACACATTACTCTGTTTGTGCCGGGGGACTGGATCTTTGGGATGAACCAGTCTTTGCCGTAATGTATTTTGGGGTTTAAAAGCCACTGGGACATTATGTTTAGAAAATAAACGTCTCAGTTTCTCTGATACTCCCTCAACATATGGAATGACCACTGGTCTGGGTCTGGGTTCCTCCTTTTCACCTGATGGCTGACTGGAGTCCTGCTTGGGTTTCTTCTCTGCTTTCAGGAAGGCCCAGTTAGGATATCCACATTGCTCTAGAGCCTGTCTTGTGTGGGATTTCTCCTTCTGCCTGGCTCCTGAGCTAGTGGGGACGCTGTCTGCTCTGTGATACAGAGTCCTGATGACTCCTAACTTGTGCTCCAAAGGGTGATGGGAGTCAAACTGCAAATACTGGTCTGTGTGGGTGGGTTTGCGGTACACCTCAGTTTGCAAATGTCCTCTATCAGATATCTTGATGCATGCTCAATAATCCAGGTAGAAAAATCCAAAAAAAAGTTAAATCTGGTCCTCTGGGGTCCTCTATCAGAGACTGAGACCTCACAGTCCAAGAAAGCCAACTTGCCATTTCATTGCATTCTTGTTTATTAAATGAAACATGAATCCATTTGCCTTTGCTCTTCATTCCATTGTCTGAAAACACGACTCAAATTTACATTTTACAGTTTCAAGTGATTTCCTCTTTAACCTCACAAA